CGTTCTCCTACTTCGGGGAGGGGATGAAGGAACAGGAGGTGGGGGGTGCGCTACAGAAAGAACGAAGACCGCTTTCGTGTGCAACCGAAATTCCTGTTTAGGAGGCGAAGGAGAGAGAAATGCTGGATTCGACTGGAGGCGAAGCTTGGAGTTTCATTATACGGCGTGTTTGCGTCTGTATGACAACCTCAGGTTTTTGTTCAAAACCTCAGGTTTTTTCGTTGTCTCCCTTAGATATCCACGGGGCATGCTCTCACGCTCACCCGCTCACGCACTTCTCCACAGCATAGCGAAATCAATGAAAATTACATAATAGTATAAATTATGCGTAATCTTGCCCGATAAAGCCAACTAATGCGTGGCTTTTGCATTTCAAAGCCATACGCGGCGTGGATATTGGAAAGTGATTAACGCATGAACACGCACGTATGTGTAAGATCAGTGGCTCAATACAAAGTCTTGACAGCCGTAGAATTCATACGCACGCGGAGAGATCTCAACAATTATAAGAATCAAAACAAGAATATCGAAACCAACCTACCGCCAGGAACGATTATTTCTACATACACATCTCTCCACCGAATTTTAGAATAAGGGCGAGTTTGTGCGAAGAGGAATACAGGTTCGTCTAGTTGCCTAAAATAAAGTCTTGGCTGTAGCTTTCATGTGGGTAGAGTAAAATAGGATAGGGTGATCTGATCGTGGTGGATAATATTGTCATGTACCCAACATTAATTCCCCATTAAAGATGCAAGAAAACTGCCATATCCATAATTATTTTGCCTAGCTACTTTTGTTGGAATAGTGTTTCTAAAAGGGTGTTCTCTAGGGGTGTTCTAAAATGATTTTAAATTATTTATTCTGCATTGCACAACCAACCCACTCACAAGCACACGCACACACACGCGCGTACGCGCGCACACACACACGCGCGCGCACACAAAGACGCACGCATAGGCACACACACACAACACACACGCGCGCGCGCACGCACGCACGTACGCACGCACGCACGCACACACACACGCGCGCGCCCGCGCGACAAGGCATGGCTAGATAATTATATCATGCATTTCAAAAATATAAATAAGGGAAAAATCATCGCAGGTCCAAACAAAGCTTATTAATTTCATAGCAACTTCAAAATTACCAGGAGTCTGTAATATGCACGCATTTACACCCATGTGGAACTTGCCGCCGGGGTCCGGACATTCGATACGTAGGTATAACAGCTCAGTGTCGCGACCAGTAATTATATTTCATTTGTTTATCGCAGGTAATAATATTCAGCGCATGCAGCATTGCAAACCATTACGTACATGAATAAAGCATGCAGCTAGGATAACTAGCACGGATAAATACGCACATGGGCGTGACAATTAGGCAATAAGCACAGCTATTATCGTTGATGAAGGAGCGAGCGAGCGCGCAGGTGCGCAGCCTGCCCAGCAGCTCGCAGTCGTAAACAACCACAGAGCACATACACAGCTAGGTGTTAGCAGTGTGATTGACCCCCGTTTGACCTTTATTGCCCGCGTGCGACGTAGAAAGCATTATTATATTCGTAGAATATTATTCTAGTTCGATTGACATCGATTTTTCGACGACGCGACAAAATCAAGAGGTCTGTATGGTCACAAAAGCGTGCACGGAGAGGGTGCATGGGGTCCCCATCCCAAGGAACCCCCTCGCCTTTCTGAACCCGACACCTTCCGTACCACGGCACGTGATACGGCAAATGACATTATGTTATACAGACAGCCTGCAAGCGATAGTGCGAACGTAACCGGAGTAAGATCATAACGAGCACCTGCAGCAAGATATCGTATAGAGATGTATGTAATTATGCGTGCGTGCGTGCGTGCGTGTGTAATTTATGCGCAAGAAGGTGTACTAATGATCTTGCTCCTGAGAGTAATTCTAATGGTAGAAGAATATCTATCTACTCACGTTTGGATGATCAGATGTAGAGTTGTCGAATAAATCTGTCTCCGTCTCCTGAACTGGTGGTTTCATATTGAAGATTCTGTCAGTGGTTGTAGAGGCGAGGGAGAAAACGAAAGAAAGAGAGAGAGAGGATAGAGAGAGAGAGAGACAGACAGAGAGAGGGAGAGAGAGAGGGAAGCAAGACATACAGAGAGAGAGGGGGGAAAGAGAGAGTAAAGAGAGAGAGAGACAGACAGAGAGAGGGAGAGAGAGAGGGAAGCAAGACATACAGAGAGAGAGGGGGGAAAGAGAGAGTAAAGAGAGAGAGAGACAGTGTCAGAAAGAGAGAGAGCGAGAGAGACACAAGAGCGCGAGAGTAGAGAGAGAGAGACTTGCGCGAGAGAGAGAGAGAGAAAGAGAGAGCAGAGAGAGAAGAGCAGAGAGAGAGAGAGAGAGAAGAGAGAGAGAGAGAGAGAGTAGAGAAGAGAGAGAAGGGCCGAGTCAGCCGAGGAGAGAGAGAGAGAGATGAGACTGAGAGAGAGAGAGAGAGAGAGAGGCACGAGAGACAGACCGAAAGACAGACGACAGACATGTACAGACAGACATGACAGAGAGACGAGGAGAGAAGAGAGAGAGAGAGAGAGAGAGAGAGAGAGAAAAAGAGCGAGAGAGAGAGGAGTTCACTATTGCGCTCTTATTCTGATGACCTTCAGCATTTCGCCATGCCGACGTCTCAACTCTACCGACACTGTCACGGTGATCACTGTCAGAGCGCTATACGTCCTCCTTGTTTCCTTTGCGTCCGTATTCTTGGATACGGGTCCGGCATTACACCTGGTTATCCGAGTCACTACGGCTTCAAAGTTACCGATGAAGAGAATTCGTGGTTTTTCAGACCGTGAGAAAATTCGCCGATCCGATCGGGGGTTGAACTCTTTGACACACAAAATATGCAAGTATTAGTCGCTGTCCATCCAGTGAACCATGTCTATTCACTAAACCATGAATATTCACTGAACAATGACGATCCACTGAACAAAGAATATTCACTGACGATCATGACCATGACGACCATGACGACCATGACGACCCACTGATCCATGGCTATGTACTGAACCGTGGCAATGCACTGAACCGTAGACAACTCAAGGACATTGACGCTGTGTTGGCAGGCCACTTAAAAGAAGCCGACTTCCGGTCAGCTGATCAAGCAGGTGTTCGACTTTCAGTTGGCGCTGCGCTTATGCTAGCTTTCTTAGTGGAGTAGCGGGTTTATTAAAAGAGACAGCGGGGGGAGAGAGAGAGAGAGAGAGAGAGAGAGAGAGTGAGTGAGTAAGAGAGAGAGAGAGAGAGATACATACATGTAGATGGTGAGTAGACGTGAGATGATTTCCGCAAGAATGTTGATGCGTTGTTTACCACGATTATTAAAGAATAAACGTATGATGGCGCGCGCGCGCGCGCGGGAGACAGTCCCGCTTTAACGCATGACGTCATATTACACGTGCAAGCAGCTCGACAGACACTGCGACGTTATCAGTTTCACGACCGCAAAACTCAATACACCGCACGGTCGACTATCGAACAATAACTGCAAAGCTGAACGTCGGAGAATCTTGTTTTTTCGAATGATACAGGGTCGTAGCTGTCGTATTTTAGAATGACACAGGGTCGTAGCTGTCGTATTTTAGAATGACACAGTGTCGTAGCTGTCGTATTTTAGAATGACACAGTGTCGTAGCTGGCTCATTTTGCCTGATGCGAGGACGATGACGTAAGCGGGGTTTGCTTTCTGGGCAGTTGACCGTGGGCCGTTGACCGTCAATGACTGCTGACCATGTAATTGCATCTACATTAGACTAGGGACACTAGAGGAAATCCTTCTACCTCTCTTGCCTCCCGCCTTCCTCTCCCCCACTAGCTACAGCTGGAATATTACATGTTTCTATATCAATCACGAGTTACGTAATAGGGGATTCTAGATACATGACTAACGGGTAGCTACTACCTCACTCGTATCGTATATTATTTAAATTAATTATTACACACATGGTAATACCCGCTATGATCACTGCTCTCTATCGTTACAGCGTATTGATGTTTGTATTCTTAAAAGTCGAAATTATGCTACTACTGACTACAACTGACACTAGTCCTGTCATAATTTCTTACGTTAAAAATCACACGTTTGCTGCGATACGTTTGCAGCATTGAACTTTCCATGCCATGACGCCATTATCTCGCCTGCCTCCTGGCTAATACGGTCGTGCAGTATGAAAAACGAAGCCACCTTCCCAGGCACGCTCTCACTAAGCTTATACTGCCGCCGTTCCTGCAACCTCATGCAAGGCTCTCTCTCTCTCTCTCTCTCTCTCTCTGTGTTTCTTTCTATCTATCTATCTATCTATCTAGCTAGCTCGACACCTCATATAATGCCTACATTACATAGTCACGAGTTAACGTTCACACTGTACACATCTAACTGCCTGCGCGTGTACCAGTGTCAGCTCTCTCCTTAACAATAGCTTCCACTTAAAGGTAGGGGCACACGAGCGATTTTTATCGCCCGATTGCCGCGAATTTTAAAATCGCTCGAAAAATTCGCCCGTGTGCCCGTTCACGTCGACGCCGATTTTAATCGCCCGTACGAATCGCCCGTATCCAAAATGTTAGATATTTTCGGGCGATTATTTACGCCGGCGATTACTTACTGGCAAATTCGCTCGTGTGCCCGTGTCCAGCGTATTTTGTCGCCCGATCGATTTTTCTAAACCAATCGGACGTGTTGTTGATATCATGTGATGCATCATGTGATCATGTGATTCCGTCGAGTGGCGTACGCGTACGCTCTCAAATTCGCTACGTGTGCCCCTTCGTGATCGGGTGATTAAATTCGCTACGTGTGCCCCTTCGTGATCGGGCGATTAAATTCGCTGGCGATTTTAATCGCCGCGATCGGGCGATAAAATACGCTCGTGTGCCCCTAGCATAAAGGAGTTTTGACATAGCGAGTGAAACAGAGTAACACACAATCATATTTATACGTGTAATCGCATAGACGCCAAAGAAACGAATCGAATTTCACTTGAAAAATGTTTATTTCGCCGTATCTTAAGCATGTTACAAAATAAAACGTGACACGCTGTGTGAAAAGATTAAACTTTGTGTCACAAAAACACATGCCTTAGCAAAAGTTACATTGAAATACACCACTGTGCGAGAGACACCCAGATACACAGAGAGAGAAAGAGAGAGTGAAATGAATACACAAAGACCGGGGAGTATAGGTAAATACATCACTTTATAATACCATCTAGTTGTTTTCACTTTTACGCAGAAACTGTTAAGCAATGTAAACGACCGCTTGGAGTCTGTCATCTTAAAGGTTACACATGCAACATGCACATGCTACAATGCAAGTCGTGCCTTCCACGCACGACGTAGACGACTCAGTACATTCATAGGGACTACAAAAAACAACGATAGAAAGCGTTTTGATATATTTAAAAAAATCCGCAAAAGAATGCCGTTCACTAACCTCATTAATTTTCACTAACCCTCTGCTGACTGTTGCGCTCCCACGCCGTTAGGTGGCGCCCTCTATGAGTAAAGATTTCAAAGCGGAGCATTTGCAATACCGTAACTCAATCACAACCGATTTCGGAATAACCGCTGAAGGTGTCAGTGACATGAATAGAGAGAGAGAAAGGGGGAAGAATTCTAAGCTACAATGCCCGTGCGGATATGACTACGCAAATTTCTATTTCTGCGCGCGCTCTCTCTCTCTCTCTCTCTCTTGTAGAAAAAGATGCTGATATGGACAAACAACACAGAGCGTTATACCGGACAAAGACTCGAAATGTAGACACATACTCGCTGTACCCACGACAAGGCTCTCACGTGCTCACATCACGGTACTGTAATAGTACGCGGCAGTAATAGTAGTAGTAGTAGTAGCAGTAGCGTCATTGGCATGAAACATCTTTTATATATAATAATAAAACAGGTGCTTATTACCTTAGACTCACGACACCTTCTAAAGACAGAAAAACATGATTATTCGTAGGGATGGCTATATACTCATAAATACGTTCCAGTTTTGAAGTCTACACCCTTGCTAAATCCTAATCACAGCATTAAAAGCATGCATATTATTAAATAGACTACCGAATATAGTTTCATTCGTCGTTTCAAAAAATCCTAACCTCTTTACGCATAAAAAAAAACACCTGAATCGGTACTCTTTTGTTTTTTCTCAATCATTCCACAACCATTTGATATCCGTGCGTACTAAAATGAATAAATTTCATCGTCATAAAATCTAATAATGAGTTAAATCAACATGGAACGCTGCGACGAGACGTCCTGACGATTACGAGTGAACGTCACAACCTATACATTCAAGGTCGCTCGAACTGGCACGTGGCGCCGTCTGCGCCGGCGCAACCATGGCAACCGAGGTCACGCAGAGGTCGCGCCGGTTGGCAGTGATACTGCGGGAGTACGGTGTAAGCCGGGGGAATGCTCGCCCTGTCACGCGGCGGCGACGCTCCTACTAATCGCAGACATAACACGAAAAGCTACGATAACAGTAAAACCTCGTAAAAAGCTATCGCGCGCGCACGCACGCACAAACTCTGCCTCTAATTCTGCAGCATCTACTTACTGGAGCACAACCTAGTCTGGCGAGAGGGCACCCACGTGAGGCCGGCCAGACGCACCGGTCGGCCGCGCGGCGCCGCTCCCTGTCAATCGAAGCTAACGCTACACATACGCGTATGTTATATACAATCTATTGAAGCTGGCTGCCCGGAGCGATGCGCGATTTTCCTCTCCAATGTCCTGATTTTTTTATCGTGTAAAAAAATTAAAATTCTTTCAAAAAATACCCCCAAAAAAGCTAAAGCCACGCGCTCGCTAGAGAGAGAAGCTAATGGCCTAAGGGAGAGCGAGAGAGAGAGGGACAGAGAACAACGTTGGCTCCAAGCTCGCGCCATGCTGACCCAGAGTTAACGCTGACCTCTGGCGCAAGGCCACGAGAATACAGAAACTACCGCACATACACACGCGCTCGCCCTCACTCTCCCCCTGGTAGCCATCTTTATTAGTTGTCACGGCAACCGCCGCCGCGACACAGCGACAGCGGTGCCTGCGCGCGTAAGCGTTCGCTCTCGCTCCTGGCAGCTGTCTTTGTTAATTGCTACGGCAACCGCCGGGCGTGCGAACATTAAACTTGGAGACCTAAAGCAAAGCTAAATGCACCATCTGGCTCTCAGTTCACTGGCAGTAGTAGTAGTCTTGTCCTAGTAGTAGTAGTAGCAGTCGTACCAGCAGTTAGTAGCAGTGAAGCTCCCTTCATCACAACGCCTCTCTCCCGACGACGACGGCGACCGGGGGAGGGTGGTCACTGCAGTCGCTCGCGGAGAGAATCCGGCGGGGAGGAGGGGAGGGGGAGGGGAGGAACCGCCCGGCAACGACGTCGAGAGCAAAAATGGAATGAGAGAAGGAGAGGGGGGACTGCTGTCTCGCCGCGTTTCTCCCCCTCCTCCCCTCCTCCCCACTGTGCCTCTCAAGAATTTTGCATCTACTCTGAATACAGAACCTCAGGGTGGGGTGGCAGGAGAGTCCTACCGAGGGAGAGCTGTTCTCACGCGATCCCCACGCCAGCGTTGCGCACGTGCCGCCGCCGCAGCTGCGCCGCACAACCCACGCTTTTCATTATCATCATTATTATCTCTCTACTACTTATCTCTCTCATCCCCCACCTCTACAGTTCTACTCTCAATTGCGACGCACTTATCGCAGAGGCATATCGCCGCGCTCGATGCAACAATATCGTACGTGTGGTTTTCCCTCCAAATCTGCAATCGCGTCCCCCATCGCCTCCCCCTGTTGCCCATGACGACGCCGACGCCGCCCCCTCCCCCGTTGCCAGCGACGACGACTCGGGCAGCGCGTGGGAACAGCACCCCCCGCACCCCCAGCGCGCGACGGACGTCCCCCCTTCTCTCTCTCTCTCACAACTAGCTAGCTATTCACATCCCCCCCGCGCGCAATACCGCATGTACGTTCCGTCTCTCTCGACCGCGAGCCGCCGGTCATCGCCGTGGCGACACCTCTACTTCTTCAACGTGAAGAAGCTGCGCTTCTTGGAAGACTCCTCCTTCTTGTCGCCGGACAGCGGGAGGGTCTGCGAGCGAGCGGGGCTCGTCGGTGTCGCAGTCACGTCCCGCACGGAGTTGACCGTGCGAAGCCAGAACTCCATCTCACTGTCGTCCTTCGCCTGGAACAGGTAGACGGCGCCCACCGACAGCCTGCACAGAGACACAGAGAAAGAGATAACGAACGTGAGATAACGAGCAGCGGTAATTAGAGATGACGGACGCGAGATAACGAGCAGCGGTAATTAGAGTGAATCTTAGAGGGACTCTCAGGTAGATGGTTGACTGTTATCAGTAATTGTAACAACATGCTGATTGTAACGATAACACTGATGATTAAAGGCATAATAGGCCCATTGATTATGCAAAGTTGACGAATGCTACAGTAACTGGCACCTTGTGTAGTTAATAAGTACATTACCTTATAGCCAAATGCGTATTAGTTTGTCCAATATCACTGCTAATTACTAAGAAATGTCTAATTGAAATCCGTAAATCTGGTAATCTGGCGCCAACGCTAAATTGGTTGCCAAGCAAAATAGCCTCGAATTCGGTTACGTGACGTCACATGTTGCTACGGGTGTTTAGCAGAGAATTGTTTGTCCCGGGATGCTTATATACGACTAATGAGCTAGTAGAATGTATCTCTGGGTGTATTCTCGGTATTGAGGCACAAGTAAATAACCGTGGGTGCTAATGAACGGGTACCCACATGTCTTCAATTTCGGACACAGGTCCGCGATCCCCCCATAGCGTTGGCCCCCAACACAGCCTACTTCATTATCACGAGCGTTCGTGATTCATACGTGGATTCCACGTTCATTACAATCAGAGCTACTGTTACGTATACAGTTACGTACGGTACTGTACTATCGCTAGCATTGCGTACGGCCGAGCGAAAATGCATGCGTGCGTGCGTTTTTGCATGTGTGCGAAAATGTCCGGTGCACTATAAATCTGTATCACACCCGTTTCGCAGTATGCGGTTTCGAAACTGTAAACAAGCCAGTCAACTGATTTCTTGGACTGCGGATTTCAATTAGACATTTCTTAGTAACCAGCTGTGATATTGGACAAACTAATTGGCGTTTGGCTATAAGGTAATGTACTTATTAACTACACAAGGTGCCAGTTACTCTAGCATTCGTTAAAATTGCATAATCGATGGGCCTATTATGCCTTTAAGTCCACGACTCGTAGCGGAATCATTAGAATGCTTATCATAAATCTACTATATATACCTCTATGTGTAATGTACAAATCATTTGAACACACACATCAATGTTTAAAATAATAATAATAATAATGTGCATCTCTATGCACAGTGCTGCCATCTGGCAGACCGACAAGAGGCTTCCTACCTGAGCCGGAAAACGTGCTTCTTCTTCGTGTAGTCGCTAGCGACCTCACCCTGCGCTGCTCGCAGGTCGATCGGCGATTCGTGACGTAGGGTGGCGCCCTCCTGCAGCAAAAATGCGAGTCGATCAGTCGCAGCAGGTGTGATAACAGAGACTTCAAAACTTGTACTTGTAAGGGCAACGGCTACACGAGTACATCTTACAGGCAATGTGCAATTTGTGCTAATGGAGATTGTTTATCCTGTTAGCTCCCTGCTGCTCATCGTAGCGGTCGCCCCGCTAGGCACAAACCCAGAATATATACACGAATAATAATGTTTTAACGTAACTCTGTCTCATACATTACCGACTGAAGTACTTGTACTCGAATATACATGTAATGTGCACCACAGTTATGAACTGTCAACAGAGCATGAATCTATAATATATGCTATATATATATATATATATATAGGAAACCTAATATCGTTCAAAGTCGCTTGCCGCACCTTTGCTGACACTTAAATTACGCGCCGTCGATTTCCGACGTCGACCACATAAAACATACGACTCCGCTATTCAGACTGTCCCGTTCCCCGACTCTTATTACACACTTTGCTTCTCACCCTCCCTAAACAGTAAACGCATACTCCTCGATCTCCCATCGACGCGTCTCTAGTAATTAATTGAAGCAGCAGCAGCAGCACGCACGCACGCACGGTTTAGTTGCTACGGCTGCAGGCAGTGTTGGGGGTCAAGCAGCAGTAACAGCCCCATTAACTGTTAATCGGGGAACCAAAAAACAAAACTGCAGCGCTCGCGCAGCTTTCCCTCGGGCGAAACCCCCGCTTTCGCAAAAACCGGGTTTCCCCTCCAAGGTCAACCCAACAGCTCCAGGCGATAGTGCAAAACGGTAACAGATTGATTCAAAATAACGTCAAAATAACAAAACAAAAATATTATTATATAAATAAATGGTCACTTCAAATGTATAAAGACAATTGCGACATTGTTTTATCGAGATCGTGTTAAAGTGAGTAAGTACTAGCGGCGATGAACCTTGAACACAACACAACACAACGCAGGGATTAACACTGCCGGTTTGATCTCATCGCTTCTGCGTTCCACATTGTCTGCAGTTTTTAAATCCGTTTATCTTCACCGAAGATAGAAAATAAACTGCAGCAAAATCATGGAAGGTCCTTTCCATAGCCGTTCAGTCAACTCAGATAAACCCAAGGTGCGAGGATATTTAACATCAAGCTGTTATTGATCATAATCAACATTAAGCATAAAACATAATATGTCATAATATAAACATATTATGTAAAGTGCTTATGCCCATCTTGAAGCTAACCAAATATCAATAAGGTAGTGAGTTAGCTTCTGACCAGCTGGGTTGGATGCTGCATACTCATTTCATCTAACTCCTATTCCTATTTTAATAAATTTTTCGACATTGAACCTTACATACATAACCTAACGTTAGCCACGGCTGAATCATCTGCACAAGAAATCAGACAAAATACCGACGTCACTCATTCCCTGGCACCAGTGATTTCTCTAGAGATATCTCTACAGGATCCCACACAAACCTGCATGCCCCGAATACACACATGCCCACTCCCACCACTCACTGCCAATTGTGAGATTTACCGACTGTTCACACCCCACTGCCACCACTGGCCGATTTTATTTTTGAATACTTTCCCACCACCAAATCAAAATGCAGGTGATGAACTTTGCATATCACCATGACTACCCTTAGCCTTATCACTATAGTTACCTCTCAGTCACCTCATCACCATGGCTACCCTCAGCCTCCTCATCACCATGGCTACCCTCGGCCACCTCATCACCATGGCTACCCTCAGCTCCCTCATCACCATGGCTACCCTCAGCTTCCTTATCACTATGACTACCCTCATCTTCCTCATCACCGTGGCTACCCTCAGCGTCCTCATCACCATCCTCAGCTTCCTCATCACTATGGCTACCTGAGCGTCCTTATCACCATGACTACCCTCAGCCACCTCATCACCATGGCTACCCTCAGTCACCTCATCACCATGGCTACCCTCAGCCACCTCATCACCATGGCTACCCTCAGCTTCCTCATCACCATGGCTACCCTCAGCTTCCTCATCACCATGGCTACCCTCAGCTTCCTCATCACCATGGCTACCCTCAGCTTCCTCATCACCATAGCTACCATCAGCATCCTCATCACCATGGCTACCCTCAGCATCCTCATCACCATGGTTACCCTCAGCCACCTCATCACTCTCCACACAGGTCAGATGGTTAATAAGCTAATCACTCGTGGCCACCAGCATGCCCCCATCACCAACGCATCGAGACACTGGGGAGTTACACTGCGTCAAGGCACCGGCATGCACACACACACACGCGCACGAACGCGCACGCACGCACACGTGCTGCGTGAGCGAAACACGCCGCGTATACCTTAGCGTCCGAGTCCCTCCTCTTCAGCCAGAACCACCTGCTCCTCGGATTGCTCTTCGTACAACAACACAGTCGCACGGTGAGTGCACCCACGCGGCGGCAAGTTTTACCGGTCACGCGTATTAAGTATAAACATACGCGCTTGCGAACGTCAGGACAATGCTGATCCATTATATACTCGGGAACGCAATCCACGAACCGCGCACGAGAAATGCTCTAAGGAACACAACTGCCGTTCGCAACCAATCACGATTGAAGTTCTGAATGATTCCGACTTACGAACGACGACTCGGCAACTGATGGTGTTCAGAACCGTTACGATCGTATCTCGGGAATCCCACCGTGCGCAATTTGTTTCTATTTCGTTTCTTATGATAACTCGCGCAGTAGCACTCGTGGTCTATCTAAAATCTGTTTCGATCGAATAACGAAAGCAAACCACGTCGCAAGACCGCAAGCGAACGAATCTCACTGATAACTTGCGAACATCGTTAATGAACATCGTTAGCGAATGCTTAAAGCTCATCGGAAGGAACTGAATCAAGGAATACTTAACCACGACGAATATGACAACCCCCGAGCGTCGCCCTGTTCCCCGACAAAAGCAACGTTTGCGCGCGGTCGTTAGTCGTCGCGCCCTCATTAACGTAAGAACGTGGCGAAGCGTACGAACCTGCTTGGCATGTTTCTGGTCCTTGAAGAAAGTAAGCTGAGGTCCTTGCAGGACGCAGTACACCTTGTCCCAGGATCTGCAAAGCCAAACGCCAGACGATGACACATCATGGTCGTGCGCACGCTGTGACGACGGTTCGAGCATCAACTGATACACTAGTATGGCTACTACACTGATAGCGATAATATGGCTCATTGCCAAATGATGAACTTACTAAACACATGAATACTTACTAAACATCAGATGATACACTCCACACAGCAATACTTACTAAATATCATATGATACATACCTGTTTCAACCAATACTACCGTCCTTCCCCCTAGACAATAACCTATTTTAACACGATAATGCCAACTAAACCTGACGATAGGCAACGAATTCAGCATATTGTGGCCTACCAAAATTCAGCACCATGCAGTCATGATGCCATCTTATAATTCTCTGGCATGAAATCACGTATCACTCTAGCACATTCCTACATAATACAACAGCACTCAATCCAGGATTGTCCTTAATAACTAGTGAAGACTGGCAGATGCTGCTGATGCTGTAATCCGCAGGTGAGTCTCGCGTACCTGTGTGTGGACCGCTGCCCGCCGGTTGCTAGGTCGTACTTGCGTGTCAGGTAGCCCTCCATATGTGCGTCTCCACCTTCTCCCTCACCTGAACAACACAGCATTGATCACAGTCAGTCACAAACACCTGACGTGAGCATTACCTTGTGGCCCTTCATGTGTGCAACCCTTACTTCTCTCTCATCGTAACCCAGCATTAACCCCAGTCAGTTACAAATATAAGTAACATCAAAAGACAAACAGACATATCTGGTAGCTCTATCTATGTGTTCTCTTTACTCTGTCAGCTGAGGCAGAGAGAACATACATAGGCATACATACTTGTCAACAGATGGCATTGCACTCTCAGTTGTCATAGCAACTACAAACTCCATTCATGCTCACACTTTTCTGATTCACCCTCACCTCACTTAAAATGCATACGGTACGAAAATCACCCAGAATTGCATGATTTCGAAAATCCAAAAGAAATTTCCACATTACAAAGACCGAAACGATCAATTGACCTATCTGTGTGACATGATTGAGAAGCAGTTCTGACCAACCAGCATCATGATAGGACATTCTAAAAACAATGCTTAGCATCGACGTGCCGCTAAATCGGTAGTTTGACTCACACCACGTGCATTCGCTTCCATTCCTTTCTCTCTCTCTCCCCTCTTTCACGCTTCCTCTTCGCCCTCATTTCTCTCCCTCCCTCCCTCCTCTCTCTCACTCTCCCTCTCAACATCCTCTTCCCCCTCTCTCCCCTTCGCAGTCTCTCAGGACGCACGGAGGGACGGGACACCGTGGTTAGCTGGCCGGCCGGCTTACCTCTCTTTAGACTGCTTGTGGGAGCAGAGGTGGTCTTACCCTTCCTCTTGGACGAGCGAACAGACGGGCTCTCGTCCGTAGGAGCTTCTAAAGCACAGCATGCAGTGTCAGTTCTACGACTAGTGCAGCTACACGCCAGCGGCGTTGTGGTGCAGTGACGACTAGTGTTAGAAGTCTAGGATGAGGAGGAGGAGGAGGAGGAGTAGGAGGCAGAAGGAGGAGAGAAGGTGATGGAGGAGGGAGGAGGAGGAGGAGGAGAGAAGGTGATGGAGTAGGGGGAGGAGGAGGGCGAAGAGGAGGAAGAAGAGGACGAGGACGAGGACGAGGAGGAGGAGGATGAAGAGGAGGAGGACGGAGGAGGAGGAGGGGAGAGGAGGAGGAGGAGAGAGGAGAGGGGAGGAGGAGGAGGAGGAGGAGGGGAGAGGGAGGAGGAGGTAAGGAGGAGGAGGAGGAGAGGAGGAGGAGGAGGACGAGG